ATTCGTCTGGCTCAATGGTGCTATTGATGCTAGGGAAGACGGAGTTATGTGGGGCAGATAGATCAATGATTAGACGTTTTTTCATCTCAGAATTTCCGTGTAGCGATGCCAATTGGGCTGATACGTGAAACGGTAAATGGAGGAGCAGAGAATGGCCCAATCATAAATTTGTTTTCAATTTCTTTTTTAATCAGCAAATCGACAGTTTCTGGTTCTGTGTTTGCTGATTGTAGGTTGGGACAGAAGAGATTATAGGAAGGAAGTGCTGAAACGCCAGGGTGGAATCCGTGAGTTAGACCTGAAATGAGAAAAGCAGAAAAGTTAGTATCAGTGTGAGAATGTAATTCATAAGCCAGGTGAGGAACTTTAATTGGAGTCGACTGGTAATTTTTTGATCTTTTATTGAGGGATTTCCAAACAGAGCAGACGATTTTGGCATGGGCGCCACCACAATAGGAGCAAATATGTAAGCATTTGCATGGGTTTTTGTGACACCTGCCAATGTTAAAGTTTTGGCAGGTGTCACGGTTGGGAGGGGGATGGAAAGAAGAGGAGGAGAGAAGAGTGGGATGGTTGGGGGGCGAGGGGTGTAGCTGGAGGATTTGACTGCTGTCTGAGTGTCGGAAGAAGGGATAATGAAGGGACAGGAAGTAGTAGGGTGCAGGTTAGAACGGCAGACCGCGCAGGACAGGTTGCGGCAACCTAGGAAGACTCGGTTGTGTAGGTCAGTGTCCAAAGCCCCCCAATAAGGACACTGATTCCACTGAGTCACTCTAATTGCCCATTTAGCGGAGAATAGTTTGTGGTAAGTATAAAAATGTGTTCCCCCATACGAGAGCGCGAGCTCGGCGATGATGGCCATGTAGTCATTTAGCTAACGTCTCCTTTGGGGAAAATGGAGCAGATGATGTCTGTGTATCGGGAGAAGGCTATGTTAAATTCGGCTAATGATAGGATGCGTGAATGGGAGCTATGGGGCTGTTTGAGTGTGAGAGAATATTCGCCGCAATCTACCTGGCGTTCCGCCGTGGGGGGTGTGATGGGTGATAGGAGAGTGATGAGGTCAACGTCGGCACCTGAGAGGATCTGGTTTCGTGCTGCATTGGAGACTTGGGGTGGTTCCATTGCCAGGGCGTGTTAGGTGGAGGAAGGGGCGTGGCTGAAGAGAGTGTGAAAGGGGGGCGTGAGGCAGAAACTGGTGCGGGGGTAGTTATTTGCTGAGTGGGGTTTGTGTTTGTAAGTACGGGGGGGGGGGGGGGGGGGTGATGAAGAGGGGAAGCAGGAAGGATGAGTAGCAGGTTGAAAGGGGATGGAGCATGAAGCGGGGGGTTGGAGAGAGGGGGGAAAAGATTGAGGTTGAGAAATAGCTGGAGGAACAGTGTTAGAAGGGAGGAAATGAGTAGCTGAAGTTGAGGGGAAAATAGGGCTATTAGAAGAACTGGAGATGGGGGCTGGAGGCCAGGAAAGAGAGGTAGAGTAGGGTTGAGGAGGAACAGATTGGGGATTGTAGTTCGTCTGGTTGTAGTCCTGGTCAGTGAGGTGTGACGTCATGTGTTGTGCTTGTGGTTCCTGGGGGCGTGGTCTGGCGGGAGTGCGGCGAGGTGCGTGTTTTGATTTCTCCTTTCTCTTTCCTTGCGCTGGATATGGAGTGGGGCGATCGCTGGATTGTCTATTGTTTCCTCTTGTAGGTGATGTATGGGAAGGGTGAGAGTCCGATGTGGCGGGTGAGCTTATTTGTTGTCTTTGTGCTGCGGGAGAAACGGATCCTGTTTGGTATGTGCGGGCTGATGTGGAGCAAGACATCCTCCGGCCTCTGGTAGAGGGTTCGGCTTCTAGTATGTTGCCTCGCGTGGCTGAGTGAGAGTGGAGCGCCGCGGGCGTCTCAGGTGGAGCGGGGTGTTCTTGATGGATGTTTTCTTGATTGTTGTTGGTGTTATTGTTGCCGTTGTTTTCCATGTTGATAGCTGGTTGTTCCGTTGGTTTGCATAGTATTGTAGGAGTATTGAAGATGTTGATTTGTTCGTTTGTTGTTTGTTGCTTGCTTGTTTGTTTGCATGCTTAGTCAGGCTGTTGCTTGTAGCGAGGCGGACTGCGCTTCTTCAAGACGAAGATAACTGGAGTGATAAACTCAGGTTATTTATAATGCTTCCATAATCATCTAATAGGGCTGATTACGGAGCTAATAAGGAGCCAGCCGTGTTGATTATAAGCAAGTGATCCTCTCAAAATTGGTTTATGAATAAACCACACTATGTGATAACTCCCAAGTTCAAATTGTAGTGCAATTTCTAAAACAATGTTTCATTATTATGTCTCTGTTAGACAGTGCCACTATTTGGCTTATTGAAGCTTTGTGAGCTGGTGTTTATGAAGGTATTATTGGTGCGAAACTCCCAAGTGTAATTTGTAGTTTTAAAAAATAGCTACACATGTGTATCAGTACATTTGTACTCGGAGAGCAAATTTGCAAATGTGTATCAGTAAATTTATACTTGCAGAGCAAATTTGCAAATGTGTATCTGTAAATTTGTACTTGCAAAGCATATTTGAAAATGTCTAGGTATTTTTTGTCTCCAATAAACACAACGCAACATTTACACCTGCAAAAATCCTTCAGTACAGGTGCACAAATCCCATCAGACGAATCACAAATGCAGAAACTCATCCGCTCATGTTCTTTACTACTATTGTTGCAGTGAATAGAGTGCAAAACACATTTACACACCTGCATCCAGAAATGTGAAGTCACAGACAAAACTTGCACATCTGTAAATTAGAATGTGTATCCGCACAAAGAGAGCTGAACCTGTGCAGAATGTTTGATTTATTTTTTTCTAAGCACGAACACAAATATGTTCCTGCAACTGCTCAAATCTGCGTGTCAAGCACTGTTTTTCACTTGCAAATCTACGTTTCGCCCTCTCGCTCTTTTGCACCAAACATCACTGTGACATTTGGTGCAAAAGTGACTTGTGTATCTGCCAACCAAAACGTGGGCTCTCAGAAAAATTCAGCCAATAGGGGATGGGGCGTGACGTCACCGCTCTAGCGCTGTGGAGGCTAAACTTCGAAACCGAAACCCCCTTTGCGAGATTCGCCGCATCTATACCTGATTTGCGTTCAAAAATGCCTGCTTAATTATTCCATAGTAGGACCAAACATGCCTTAAGAAAAGGAGTACGTTTGAAACTGTAGGAACCATAAAAAGTACGCCAGGTGAATGCCTTTCTACTCCAGGAAGCCGCAGCATACGCCTGAAGCAGGAAGAGGACGCGGTCAGTTTGAAATGTGAGTATTAAACCAAAGACAGTTCTTTGTGTTAAACTGGTATTTGTTGAGCTACTGTACAGTGCACTGTAGAATTGCTGAGGTTGTAAATAGGCTTTAAATTATAGTCCATTTTATTTCGCTGTAAATGTTGATTATGTAATGTTATGGTCTCCGGTCAGCACATATAAAGTAACGTTTCAAAAGAAAAAAAGATTATTATCAAATGTCTGACGGAAAATTGTGAAGTATTGGAGATCACAAGACTAAACAGACATCCGAGTGAGTGATGTATTTGTGCAGCTGTAGAATCTGCTGTCAATTGACTGTTGCCAATACTGTTTAAATTAGATACATGTAATCTTAATAAATGAGAATAAAGGGTTATTTGTTTAAACTGTGCATCAGTATAGTTGATCAATTGAGGAAGGTTTGTGTTACATCAGCAACTACACCAACATGTTATTTGAGCATGTGAATCACAGAGGTGATTTATTCTAGGCTCTATGTTACAGGGAGGCTTTTATTGAGTACAGTACAGAATCTAAAAAAAAAAAAAAACATATTTTACATTTGCTATTTATTATTAGTTATTGTATTTTCAAACAGTGATTACATCAGCTTTCTGATTGCTGGTGTGTGTGTGTGTGTGTGCTTTTTCTGCAGAGCTGAATCGATGTCATCCTGAAAGCAACAGTACAGTTAAGGTACATTTTTATTGCTTCTTTTTATAAAACGACTTATAGTTGTACAGTTTGATGTTAGTTTAAATATAACTATGTTAGTGATCAGTATTCATAGCTAGGATAACAATTCTTGTTTTACGAAAGGTAACCTGGCTAGCTTGCCCTAACGTCAAGTTTGCTATTCAGTCTTATGACATAATACGATTGAACTATTTAATTATTAGGCTATATTTATTTTTTAAAAATGGCAGACCAGGGTGCATCCAATGCATTGAGGTGAAGTTGGTTTTATAGTTGCACATTCTGACTTTCTCCTTAATAATATGATTTCAGAAAAAATATTTTCATATTCTATATAGGGAAATCATATTAGCAGCCAATGACTATCAAAATACAGCACTGTCAACAGTCAATTAAATATTAGTGCTAATGTTGTTTTGAAGTCATTCAGACCAAATATTTAAAGAACCATGGTAAACAATATAAGGGACCATTAAAATGTTCAAATGTGCAAATATAAAACCAACTTTACCTTTATAACTAATGCTACTATGTTTATGATTCATTTAACACTCCAAAAAAATGCATTTTTACTTTACATTTAAGCCAAGAATACATTGCTAGTTATGATAAATGTGGACAATTAACTAAGTAAATCTACTTTTAGTCACTAGACATTCCCAGCCGGCACACGACCGACCTTCAACGTTGAAATATGGTTGAAATAAGGTCAGATGTGTTTTGAACGTTGAAATAATGTTGATAGAACGTTTAATGTTGAACGGTTGAAAAACAGCCTGCATATGACAAGGCTTCAACGTTGAAATGTGGTTGAAAATACGTCAGTTGTTGCTTTAATGTTGAAACAATGTTGAATGATAAATGGTTGAAAAAAGTTACAGAAATCCTTGTACAAATCAACGTTGACATTTTTTTTATCATGATCTGTATGTTGAATTAACGTCATGGCTTCACCCAATATTCAACATGTTTGGTTACCATGGTATCGGAGGACTCGGCGCACGCGCAGCGCTTCACTTCACTTAATTACGAACACCTGACCTGCAGTGCAGCAGAATTCAGAGGTAAGCGTGTTTTTAGATGCTTTAATGTTTTATTTACCCCCCGATTTTGTTTTACACACAGTGTATCTTAAATGTGACTTAGTGTAGTGTTTCGAATTTTGAAGCATTTAAAACTTTCCAGTTTGGTTTAGTTTGCGCTCCGGTGACGCAGCTAACCTCGAGGTAATGTCACATGTCTAACGTTAGTCTAAATGAGTGTTTTTATGGCAAATTCAAAGCGTTAAACTCCAAACGCAGTTTAAAGTTACTGAGCAACGTTATAAAACAATATCATTTTTATACGCTGTATCATTAGTGTTATTATTACAAAGTGAACTGCTTTCGTTTCACTGTTGTTGTTTTTTTTGCTTTTAGAGATGTAACTTAACGTACTCCAGAGACGCACTAACTTGCACAGCATTGAATGGAAAAGGCTTTTTCCATGTAAGTTTACTTTACCTTTAACTAAGTTATCTGTTAAATCTTCTTGGTGCTTTGGTTGGTGATATTCTCTTTCTAATCTGTTTGTTTATTGATTGTTAGGCTATGTTGTGATATTATATTGTTATATTGATATAATTATTGTGAAATCATGTTGTGATGTTATACTATGTGACAGTATTAGGGAACAAATATGTATTTAGTGAGAAATTAATGTTTAAATTACACTTTGTATAGTAGCAGATAAGAGGTGTAATGGGTTTTAACTTTCTTGGTTTTCTGGAAGGTCCAGTTGAGGGCATCAAGAACACGCAGATGGCCTAAACCTGTGTCAGACTGGACAGACTGCTGATCTGCTACTCAACGCCAAGGCTTTTGTATGGATGTCTGACTACTACTGTTGTTCTCTAAAGGTATTACTGGAGCAAAACAACAGCACCTGTTACAGTGAAATTTGTATTCATAAAAATAGTGATACATGTGTAGCAGGTCCAGTACATGTGATGTCATTGAGAAGTTGTTTTTATTAAATGTCATTAAAACAAATGAATAAACATGCTATTTAAATAAATCTAAATATTAAAAACTTGAGGATTAAGATGAGAAATTAAATGCATCATCTGTCTTGCGAAAAGGGTCTACTTAAGAATTCTGGTGTTTCCCAACTGAAAGGGATAGTTCCCTCAAGAATGAAAATTTACTCACATTTTACTCCCCAAATGGTTTAAAACCATTATGAGTTTATTTTGTTGAACACAAAAGAGGCTTTTCTGGAAAAAAAAACTAAAAACCTGTAAACATTGACCTCCATAGTAGAAAAAAATACTATAGAAGTCAATGGTTAATAGATTTGCAGCTTTCTTCAAAATATCTTCTTTTGTGTTCAACGTGGTCAGTAAATGACGACAGAATACAAATTTTGAACTATCCCTTTAATTTTCTGTCCTACATGCAGACTTTTGCAGAAGTGCTACTCCTTCTAGAGTTTTTCTCAACCATATGTCTAAAAAGCTTCAAACAGCTTTTACAGTACATGTAATGGTTTACAACAACTTGTAATTATTAGATGTGTTGAATGTTTCATGGTTCTTTACTGCAGCCTTTGTTAAAAAAAAAAAAAGAAATTTTTTCGAGAATCTGAAATTTGAATTCTGGAAATGCTGGTACCGGTGGTGGCGAAGGGCTTCCTGACGACATCACACCTAATTCTTCACTTCTCTTAGTTAGGAATATTCAGATGGATGAGTCAAAATTATTGAGTGTGGCGATTATTATAAGACAAATTTGGATTCAATAAAAAATAAATATTTGAATTTCACTTTGTATAATAGCAGATACCAACTTAGTTGTAACCTCGTATTTCATTTATTGCAGGTTTTCTGGAAGCTCCATTTGAGGGCATCAAGGACATACTGATGGCCTAAACCAGTGTCAGCCTAGACAGACAGACATCTATTGTAGTTCTGCTACACAAGACCAAACTCTCTGCTTTTGTATGGATGTCTGACTAGTACAGTGTTCTCTAAAGGTATAACTGGAGCAAAACAACAGCATCCGTTACAGTGAAATTTGTGTTCATAAAAGATAGTGATATGTGTAACAGGTCCAGTACATTTGTCATAAAGGTTAAATCACAGTAAGTACTGTAAAAATAACTTGTTTGCCTTTGCCACAACAGGTCATGGTGTGTGCATACTGCTCGTAGTAAACACACACGCTGATCTGATGCGGGAGAGATATACGCAAACACATTTATATTTACTGTTTTGTTTTGCCTCACTAAAGTGTTGTTGGAGCTTGGTATGTTCACAGTTGAAATCACTGAAGTCACATGGAACGTTTTGACAATGTGTTTTGTGCCTTATCTTGACAATGACCATCTTGGGACCATTGCTGTCTGTAGAGGATGAGGAGCATTTAATCTAAAATATTTTAGTTTGTGTTCTGAAGATTAACAGGTCTCTGGGATGACACAAGTAATTAATAACAGAACCTATATGAACACTTAATGTGACATGTAATAGTGAAATAGTGGTCCTACATTCACAAATGTGAGCTATTATTATAAGACCCATGTGAACATGCAATTTTTATGATACAAATAATAATGGAATAACAAATTGCTATTACTGTTGTGTTTGTGAGTGAATCAAACCATATTTTCTACACATTTTCTTGATGATTTACTGAAATATTTGTCTACATTTTCCACTGTCACAGGTGCTCAGTTTTGCTGCAGTAATGCTAAACACAATAGATGTACTTTATGCAAAAAACAAAACAAAAAAAAAACAAAATATTTAGCATGCAGACCTGCAAAGTGAAGGAGTAATGTCAGGTTTAGATTATAGCATGAGTTTTCACTATTGTGAAAGTGAAGCCATTCATTCACAATGAATTGGAATAGCAAACCTCATTATTGATTTTGTAGGAAACTCACCTGGTGTTTGAGAAATAAATATGTATTTAACTGCTAGACTGATATAGATGTTTTAGTGTTTTACACTTGATTCTTTGTCCCAGTGCCATCTTTTACCTCAAGTGTTTCTCTCAACCTATAAAACCTCAAACAGATGTAATGTATTTCACTTGTGATTCTTAGTTGTGTTGTGAGTGATGTTTTTTATTTATTTTTTTACTGCAGCCACTTTAAAAATGGGTATTTTGTAAACTTTGTAAACAGAATTGTATTTTGGAGACTGTGATGGTTGAAGCGTAGTTTAGTTACTTAGTTTAATTTAGTCAGTATCTGTCTTTCTGAAGACGGTAACACTTTACAAAAAGGTTGTATTAGTAAGTGTTAATGTATTTACTAACATGAACAAAGAACAATGAAGCATCTTTCATATAAAGAAAGTACAGTTCATGTCAGCTCAGTGCATTAATGTTAACAAGCATACATTTTGATTTTAATAGCATCGGGACATATTTCAATTAATTAAATGATTAATAAATGCTGTACAAGTATTTGTTCTTTGTTCATGTTAGTAAACATTAACTAACTTTAATTCATGAAACCTAATTAAAAAGTGACTCTTTAATTGTATGCCTTTTTCTGTATTTGAGTGTACAGTATGTATAGTAACCTGCATGGTTTTAATGTATGCTGTAAATGTTGCTGTATATTTAGAATAAATGAAATAATGAGGTGTGTATTAAATAAATTGATACACAGGCTAAGTTGTGTATTTGTGTCGTGTATTTTTTATTAGTAAAAATTTGTTTGCTATATTTATGGACTTTGCGTTGTATGTAATTTCTATTCAACTTGCGTTGAAATGTATGACGGTGAAACAACGTCACGGTATCAACGTTGATCCAATTTGCAAAATCGAAAGGTTATTCAACCTTCATTCAACGTCTACAAAACGACCACAATTCACCCATGAAAAAGGTAAGAGTGAAACAACGTTGTGATTTCAACGGTGAATCACCGGTGGTGGTCCGACGGTGAAACAACGTCACTATATAAACGTTGATCCAATTTGCAAAATCGAAAGGTAATTCAACGTTGATCCAACCATAGACCTGACGTTGATTCAACGTTGAATCACCGTTGAAATGCCGGCTGGGTTGCATCTTATTTTCTTACATTATTCATTAAAAATAGAAACATAATTATATTATTAAAATAATGAATATGAATAATCATGACAAATAAATACAAGTCAACAACAAATAAAACCAAGCTTTATTCTAACAGAGATGTATTACAGGCAGAAGCCCATGTTTAACTGTATCTCCACAAAGCTGGGCCAGTTCTGCAGATGATCAGAGGGACTTCGCCATCATCACATGCCTCATTGCTGCAGTCAGACTGAAACAGGACGGTGATGCATGGCAGTCCATGCCCGAGATACGGATGATGAAGAGACCACAGCAACATCTGGTCCAGATGAGGACACAAGGGCAGGTGGACTGATGCAGGGTCTTGTTCAATTCACTACAGGAGAACAGGAGTGGCCAAACTCAGTCCAGAACTGCTGCTGTCTTGCAGAGTTTACTTGAAGTTGACTCTAAACTCTGCAGGACACCAGCCGTCCAGAACTAAGTTTGGGCACCCCTGCATTACAGCATTTCCAGGATGCTGCTGTGGACTTTTTTGCCCTCACCACACACACCAATCTGCAGCTATTTCAGATCATACAAAACATTAAAAAAAAAAATAAAATAAAAAACAGTCATTTTACTGCACAATGTGTCATTTGATTTCTGTAGTGCTAGTAATAAAATTATCCTACCTCTTATTTTGAATTCTTTTTTCCTCAAATGTGTTAGTTCCCTTGTATACAGGTTTAGCTCCATCACAACACTTCTGCAGAAAAAGCACACACACACCAGCAATCAGAAAGCTGATGTAATCACTGTTTGAAAATACAATAACTAATAATAAATAGCAAATGTAAAATATGTTTTTTTTTTAGATTCTGTACTCAATAAAAGCCTCCCTGTAACATAGAGACTAGAATAAATCACCTCTGTGATTCACATGCTCAAATAACATGTTGGTGTAGTTGCTGATGTAACACACACCTTCCTCAATTGATCAACTATACTGATGCACAGTTTAAACAAATGACCCTTTATTCTCATTTATTAAGATTACATGTATCTAATTTAAACAGTATTGCCAACAGTCAATTGACAGCAGATTCTACAGCTGCACAAATACATCACTCACTCGGATGTCTGTTTAGTCTTGTGATCTCCAATACTTCACAATTTTCTGTCAGACATTTGATAATAATCTTTTTTTTTCTTTTGAAACGTTACTTTATATGTGCTGACTGGAGACCGTAATCATAATCAACATTTACAGCGAAATAAAATGGACTATAATTTAAAGAGCCCATATTATGGGTTTTTGAAAATTCCCCTCCATGTAGTGTGTAACACAGCTCTAAGTGAAGTGAAGTATCCAGCTAAGGCTTAAATCTGTAAGAATACAGTGTTTAAAACGGTTGATTCATCTATAAAAGAGTCGACTCATAGTGCTTCAAACGAGTCGCCTTGATACCGATTCATTAGGTGTTTCGCCATGACGTACGAACGAAACCAAGTTATTCACGTGCACGCGCAAACCCGGGAGATTTCAAACCTGAGGCCCTGCCCTCTGACGCAGAAACCCAGAGACACACACACACACACACACATGCCGGTGAATTGAAGTCACACTGCAGATGGATATATTGAGTCTCTACCCAAAGATGAAACCTCAGCATTATAGCCAAGCAGTTGGAAACTACTGGAAACTTCTGGAAACTACATGCTACAAAGAATACTTCATCAGCGTTTGTTAAAGGAAGGATCAGTAAAGAGTAACTTACTGATGGACGTCAGGATGGATTTTCTTCCTCCATTT